ATATCTAAATCGAGAAACCTAAAAAGAGTTCTTGTGATGCTCAATATTTATTAGTGTAACGCAATAATTCATTGCAATCCTTGATTTATATCAGCTTAAAGAACATTGCAGGAATCACGGAGACGGGTTCATTGCCTGACCTACAAATCTTTCAAGTAAATACCCGCTCCTGGATCTCTCTCTATTCTTTATCCATTCATGTAACTATATCAGGTAACTTCATAACTATCTGCTAGAGATCTTGACTTCGAGTTTTCTCTGTTTGGATACAAAATTCCTCGGATTTCTAATGAGGCGTTGATCGGCGCAATAAACAGATGCGTGTATGAAGAACACCGTGGTGTTGTTTATCGTGAATACCCACACGGCAGGTATCCATGATAAATTTTAGACTTTTATCTTCACCATCCACCAGTGGCCTTTTTTGAGATATAGTATACACACAGTTCCTTCTTAATTTTTTCTTCAACATTCCGTCTTAATAACTGAGTAACTAAAAATTTTCAAGAAATGGAATGAAAAGCAAAGAGTATATTGTAAATATAATATATATGTATTAAAATAAATTGTATATGTATTAAAATATCAAAAACAAATATTAAATATATATAACTCATAGATTTTTACGCGTACTCGCAGCTTAATTGCGAAATACATTTCTAAGTTTTTATTTATTATAAAATATTTATTTTTATTTAAATTATAAAAAATTAGTTATTTTATGAATAGAAATCTATAACAAATTGCTTTATAAGATTAATAAAACAGATAATGTTTTGTATTTGTTCATCGTTAAAACTTAAATTTCTTTAATTTTTTAAAAAGACAAAAGATAAGCAAATTTACATATCAAAGCAAAGGCGCTAAGAGCTTAAAATTTTTAATGTGTTTGTATGTAATTTCTGAGATATCTTTATATACAAGCATGTGTATATATAGATATATCTGTATACACATGAATATATAATTGCTAAGATGTATATGACATAAATCACCGAAATCTTTACGATCAAACAACTTGAAACAAACTTGAAATAGATAAACGCTGATCAATCAAAAAATTTGTAATTCAATAAAAAAGTTAAATAAAAACAGAACCGTTAATATTTTAGCTAAATTTTTTGTTTATTAAATTTATGTTTAAATTTAATGAAAGAAAACAAAAAAAAAGATACACAAAATTTATTTTTCATTGCTCATTATTTGCAAAAATTTCACTTATTGAATTGTGATTCAAGGTTTTTTAGAAACTAAAATAAGTAAACACTATGGAGTCTTTATATGTTGCATTGGGGATTTACCAACTTATTAAGATCTGACTTCTAAGAAACCTGCAACTCGAAGTCATGAAGATATTTTAGGGTTCGGTTTTTTCACTCAATTTTAATTGTGAATTATTTACTTTCCAAGAAAATGAACAGGCAATAATAATTTATCTTCGAAGAACCAGTTTGCAGAAATACTTTAAATTCACTACATAAAGAAACATCACACATAGTGTTCCTGTATATTTTCTTATATCGGAGACAAAGAGATTGTTCAGGAACATTACCTAAATATATAACAATGCATTAACAATCAATTTAGTTATATCTGGAAGACGAGGATTAAAAATATCTTAACAATTTGAAAATGAATAAAAATTTAAATAATTCTAAGAAAGGATACACTAAAATAATTACAAATATTATTGTTAAATTTAGATTTTCGCAGACGTATTTATCTTAAGTATCAATTATATACTTTTTAAACTCAAAATTTTCTTTTTATAAATGTTTTAGAATATATATAAAATATAATATATCACAAATGTGTGTAATAATATCTATCCTGTATTAAAATACTTCTTTGCATAAACACTTCCTAATTCAATCGATCAATGTCTTAACCCTTATCGATTTTATTTGTGTGTACTCATAAAATATTTCAAAGCTTTAATCCAATTGGATAGGAAATTAGGAACCTAGCCTAGATTAACATGCAGAAGGATTGAAAAACAACCAGTCTAACTATCAGAAAGCATGACATTGATAAACAGAGAGTGAGACTGAAAAACTGACGAACAGACTAAAACATGAGAAGACAGGTAAAACCACACTTAGTTAGCTCTTGCTAGATCAACATTAACTGACTATCACGATATCTGTTAAATAATGGTTGTATTTAAAGTACCCTGAAGTATTACTTGAAGCAAAACTAGCTTTAAAAAGTCATATAAAACCGATCACTGTATCGACCGGTATCTATTGTAGTTACAGAAATATCAGCTGCTTTACTTTGATGTCTTTGTAAGTTAACGCGGCAATTGTTTCTTAATGCAGTCACGGAAAAAATTTTTTAAGCGACTCTATGTCAAAAAAATAAGATAGTCTTATTAATCCCTTTTAACAGATTAAGCATCAATCAAAATGCATGCCATATTCACTTAAAATGTATCAAAAGTCACAAGCAACTATTTTTCACGGATTTTTTGATTTGATGAGATTTATTTTTTCTATCGGTTTATGTTATAGAATGATGAAGGTAATTACATTCACTTCACAAGCATATTGACTTCAAAGATAATTCCAAAATAACGATTTGTTACACGAATAACTGATCAGTATTATGTATAACCTCTTGTCTAAAGGAGTATGGACATATATACTTACAATGTTTAAATTATTTCCTGATCTACTCCATAAGTAAGTAGATTTACTTTCTTCAGGAGTGTATGCTAAAACATTTTAATTGTGTACGGCTGAATCGCTTAATATCACTTCAAGACTATCACTTTAAGATGACGTCCTCAGAAAATATCCCGGTTTACAATTGATATGTGGTGTAGACTTTATATTACATCGCACGAACTAATCAAGATTATTCATTGTGCTTGGGTATCAAGTTTTCAGAAAACGGAAGATTTCTTCTAACAAATACTTGTAGATTGTGTCAGATTAATTAAATTTAATATTTAAATATGCCTAGCATTAGATTTAAATATCTGGTTCAATGTTTTTATTGACAAAAAGTTAGATTCTCAAAAATTTTAAAGTGACGCTAACGTGGCTTTAGTCAGTCAAAGTACTATATCTGCTTCTGCACCACTGTCTACAGCTATAAGCTGCAATAGTAAGAAAAGTAATGCACCAATTTAGTACGCTCTTTATGGTTTATAAAGTCATCGATTTAATTATTAGTTTTTACTGTTTACTGTTCATTAAATTCCGAGAAAAGTCTTATTTTTTTCATGTATGTCTGGGTGGAGAATTTCAAACTTTTTTATATATATTATAAATAATATATGTAGTATATATTTATATATATATTATATATATATATATAAATATATTTATCAAAATTGTAATAAACAGTCCAGATAGACTCCACAATAAATTGTTAGATAGATGTTTGCATCTATCACAATTGTGAAAAATTCTGTATTAAAGGACCCATACTGAGCCTTTTCCCCACTTATCAGTTTTGGGAAAATTCTGGCTTTGTGTAAAACGTTTCGACTTGATAAAGAATATGCGCGATTTTAGAGGCTATAAAATTAGTGCTGCAGTGCATTACTAATATGTTACTATGTAGGTATTCCTATAACTTGTGTACCTTGTTCCTATATTCTATGCGGAAATGATTTGCTCTGAAGTTTGTCTATTGTTCAAGTACTTATTTTAGGACTTATTTTAATATTTTAGCATTATTTTAAAATTATTCAGCGGATAATATTAGGAATTATAAGTAATTAAACTCTTATTTTACACACCTTCCAAAAAATGGTTTTATATAAAATTAATTTTAGCTAACATTAATGGAAAGTTTAGAATATTTTTAGTTTGAATTCTGATTAAAGTTGAATCTGATTAGTAAACATGGAATGCTATTTCAGTATGCTTGTAACTAATATATTTATTTTATTTAATTATACAGTTATTATTTTCACAAATTTCATAACAAAAACAATACGAAACTGCGATAACATCTTTAGTCATGCAAGTTATGAATGTAAAAATATTGAATTTGAATGTTTTTAACGATTTATTTGCAATACTCAGTCTATTGTTCTCAATGTTTTATCAAATAATTATAATTAGTGCTGATTTGAATGTTTAAGATAACAGAAGCGCCATGGTTATACGTAGCGTATAAGTAACTTTTTTTACAGAATTTGCTCAAGAAAATTACAATGCAATTTTGTAACGAATCAATATTAAATATGTATTTAAAATATATATAATTTACTTTAAAAAAAAAATTTGAACTCTTTTTTGTTATTACTTAAATGATTCGTAATTATTTTGATCATTTCTGTTAATTATAATTATTAAATAAATTTGAATTTCATACAAAATAATAATAATTTTTTATTTTTTTATTGCAGATTGAACTGAAATATTCAAACAAAAATATTTAACAAAATAAATATAATAAAATTAATAATCTCAAAATCAAAATGGCAATAATAATGACATAAGTTACTTGTAATAATTATTTAAATGTGTAAAAAATTGTTTATATATAAAAGTATATATGTATAAAGCCATAATCTTTTGTGATATTATTAAAGTTAAGTGCAAAATAAATCACCATAAAAATCATTTCCATAATTGCTTAATTATACAGATTTAAATGAAAAAAATTAAAAATAAGTGTTACATTTGCAAAATAATTACCAAAAAAATTTGAAAAGCAGAAAATAAATGAAATTACAAAAAATAAAAGTAATTAAAAACAAAATAATAATATAAAGCAAAATTCGAAATAATTAAAAAATTAATACATAAAAGGTCATTTTGCAATATGTGGTATTAATATTGCAAATTTTTTTTAAAATTTACTTCAATTAAATGTGCTTTTTGAGATTTAAAATATTATTACAATACATATGAAAAAATTAAAAAGTATTATAATAAAATATAATCAAATAATGAACATATTTATATGACTTAAGACATCAAAATTAAAATTACTCTAATTAAAGTCTTTCGTCCTTTTAGCAAAGTATAAAAATACAATTCAAAAACATCAAACTATCAACATACATTCCTGCTTAAATATGTAAATAATAAGTGCAGTAAACAAAAAATTTATTTTTCATAAATAAAACTGAAACAATAAATTAAAATTAACATAAATAACAAAAAACTTAAAGTCTAAAGCCCCAGTTTAGAACGTGCCGGAATTTTTATAAATTTGTGCTCATTTTGATCATCAACAGTTGCAGTCATTAAAGCAGCAATAACATTTCAATATAGCAATATAAATTAATATTGACGATAAAGTCACATATACGCTTATACGTTTTATCATCAATATGTATTGGCAATGCAACCGTCTCTCTGTACAATCACTCAGTCGCTGATCGAATTTTTCGAGAATGTCGTCGCAATTTACACAGTTGGTCTGCATTGACTTTGTGAAATAGCGGCTTACTGTCTAACTCGAGCATTAGCTTAGCCAATAGACCGACTGCAGTACTGAGCAGCGGCAACAACTTCCACAGAGCAGAACTAGAAAAACCAACTGCAAAATGACGGTATCATACGCAGGCGAGGTGCCAAATGGCAGCAGTTTTGGTGTATTTTGGAAAATTCTATGGAAGTGAGTAATGTATTTCCAATTTTTTTAAATATATGTATAAAAAATAGGTAAAAATTCTATCGTGTTTAATTATATATAATACAGTCTTATAATTATGGAATAATAGTCAATATGTGGTAGAAGCACAGCTTCAGTTAGACATCTTTGAACTGACCGCATATCTTTTCAACAGAACAACAGAACCAATATTAACTTCATTTGACTTTTTACTGCTCCTTCAGATTTAATTTGAGATCACTGAAAAGATTTTGCACATATGGTATACCTACCTTTTGATACTACAACATCAATTACAAAATTACTAACTCTCAGTATTTACTAATGACAAAAAATGCTTCGCTGCCGCTACTCTGTCGCTTGAACGGTTGGGGGATATATTAGATCATAATGTGCAGCGTAATTCCACAGCGTGCAGTTGCATATATTAATCCCCGCTCAAACGGAAGATTGGCGGCTGCTAGTATTTTTTATCGCAAGTATTCATCGTTCCTAACTGTCATTGTTTGACCAATATGGATCAACTATTGTTTTGTAAAATGAAGAGAATACGAGTCACCAATGCAAATTAAGACTCGATCGCCTCGCAATATAAAGTTAAAGATCATTATAAATTCAATAGAGAATGAATCGTTATATTATAATTTTTTGTAGTTTTATTTATCTATTTTATTTTTACAATAATTGAAACCAAATAATTAGCTCGTTAATTGCTTCCTTTATTTTTTATTTAATTTTTTACGAAAACCAAAGTACATTTTAAAAACGTCTAATTAAGTTGAGTGCAGTCAAATGTAACCGCACTTCAATAAAATAAAATTACATAAAACGTGCTGAACTTCGCTATCATGACTAATAAACTTAATAGAAAAGATATTTGCAGAATATATATTTATTACTATTATTGAGTATAGAAAGCAGCGGCTGTTTGAAGCTTTATAACGACCGGAGAAAAATTCATTTCGGGCACCTGTTTTTTTTTTCTTTTTTCTCTTTGAGTAAATATCATTCTAAATCTTTCACCTTTCAGATAATAAAAAGAAAATCAAGCATATATTTAATTTAATTTGGATGCCAGTGATGCAATATAATTTCAAGTAAAGATGCTCTTAAAAGTTTATAGAATGTAAAAGTCAGAGATCTTCCTCTCAGATGTTCTATCGTCATTAAGTTTTAATATATTTTATTTGAAAGAAATGTAAAAACAAAAATGTTTATGAAAAATGAATATTCTTATAGATCCGATACGAAAATCTTTACACGTTTCTTATATTGTTATGGAAGCAACCTTCATTTATAGCTATTAAAGCTATATCATTATTCCACATTTTGTCTAGAATAGTGGAAGAATGTAGGCAACGTACTATGCAACAGGTCCAAAGTAACTCTGATTTGGGTTCCAATATACTTCGGAATCAACTAAATAGACTGAGCACCTCTTCTGTGGAAAATTCTATTCCAATCCCTGCCCCTGCCAAACGAAGCTGGATGCTGATTTATGACCATTTTTTGTGGCAGGCAAATAGGAAATAGGTTCATTCTTCTTTAGCAGTCAGATCAATTCAAATGTAGTACGTCTGACTTGGTACATAGAAGCAAATCAGAAGGTTAAAATCTGTTTCAACAGGTTGGCATGTGGCCAAGCTCGACCTACTCTTTAGTATCTCCTATAATGTCTACCAGCGCTCGAGAAAAAGATACCAGAACAGCTATTGTGTCTTTGTCCAAGCTTGTCGAATACCAGGTTTAAGCTTTTAGGTCTATCCTTAACACACTTGACGCTATTTCCAGCATTAGCCTTGGATATTTCTAGACAACCGCATTTATTAATTGTTGAAAATGTTTAAAAATGGTATAAATGGTTGAAAATAACAAAATATTACGAATGAGGTGATAGCTAATTCTAACTGGGGAAGCTGTTGATGATATTAATTATATATTTGTTCAATTCACAAAGAGACTACTTAGTGATCTCAAGTATATAAAGAGAGTTATTGTCCAATTTTGATAATTGGATTTGAATGCATATAAGTATCTTAAGCAACTACTTAAATATATAGATACATATATATCCTTATATATTATCAAACTTATGATACCAAATTTATATATTTTGCTTTTTCAATGAAACTCTATAGATAATAATTCAGATGTATATTTTTAGTTTTAAATGCTTTTTAGTTAATTGCTTTTGCAATTTCTTATATTTATCTATTTAAATTGTTAAAAAGAACTCAATGTCTGTATTTACTTGACAACAAATTAAAAGCAAATATGAAAACTAATTTATTATAGACTTAGTGTAAAATAAATTCTAAAATATTAGTAAATTATTGCAGTATTATTGAATTATTCATAAATATTTCAAATTTGATATTTTTATAAATACAACTTTAATGACTCTGAACAAGTGATTTAACAAATCTTAATTTTAGTAGACTATTTGGGATTTCCTATTTTTATAATAAATTAAATTATAAAGCAATACTCATACGTCAAGTAAATAGAAAATCATTATATATAAAATATGATGAACTTAAGTTTAATACATTCATTAATGCATTAAAATATTAATATGCAACAAAAAGTTATTATCAATATGCGTAAGCAAGCAAAACTATGTAGTAGCATATAGCAATGCTCATCGTCAAGCACAGAGAAAGTTCACAAACAATCTGCTATTTGACATATTTTACTCTTTAGTGATGCAGAATTTGAATATATAGCTATGATGTAGTTATTTTACTCTTTTGATAGTTTCCTGAGTCCAACGCTGCTTCAAGCTCAATGGAATATAGGTTCTACAACATAACTCTAAAAGATTTTAAAGCAGATATTTTACGAAAAAAGGAGCACCATTTCTGTGCAATTATTTTGTCAATAACTTTCACCATTAAAATTAAAATTTTCTCTCGTGTTTCGAATACTAAAACTCGCAAAAATTATTAATCTATTTTTATATAATGTAATTTTTTAAATACATATAATCGGTATAATTTTTCACAGATTGTAATATAGTAATTATTTTATATTTTTCATATTATACAATTTTAATTTTTTTTTAACAACCGTTGATTGATGATATTTTCAACAATTTCTCTGTTGTAATTTTGATTAGTTAATTTTCTGATTAATTAAAATTAATTTTTAAATATACATAAAAAATTCCACATAATTGCGTGACTAAAATCTGAAGCGTTGCCTAATAAATAAATAAATTAATATTAAATTATTTTTTAAAATCTCATAAATTATTTAATATTTTTTTAACGAATTGATATCTAAAATTTTAATACCAGTTTTAAATAAAACGTGTCTAAATGCAAAATATAATCTTGCTCAAAATTTTCTAAGTAATTATGAATATAATAGAAGTAATATAAAAGAAAAAAAATTTCAAAAAAAATCTTAATAATATTAAATAAATAAACATGAGAAAATGCGTTTTTAAAAATATTATTTCCAAATAAAAATATTTTTTATTTATTGTTATTGTAAACTTGTTCTTAAGGATTTTATTTCTTCAATACAAAGAACATATTTTTTTATAAAATGCCAAGCTTGAAAAATATCAGCTAACAAAATCAATTTGAATTTCCTTGAAGAACCAAGCTAATATGAAGAACCATGGTACTATGCGTATCAAAATATCTTTGTTTGGCATAATACCTATTTCCTGTAGTACTTCAAACAATGAAAATAAAACTACTCATGCTCTAATTCTCAGATTTATTTGCAGCTTATTTATTTTGAATTATATATACATATACCCTACACTCCATAAAAATTGGCAAATGTGTAAATGGAGTGCTGGAGTTGTCAATCATCCATCAACGAAAAATTTGCGAACTTTTTGCTTAGTGAAAATAATGGAGCCCTATTAATGGCTTGAGAAGCATTTTTATGAGTTAACTTAGTTTCTTAATATTTACGTTAATAGTTTTCTAATAATATATAATATATAAATACATATATAACAATTTTTAATATAATATTATATAATATTTTGAAATCAAAAATTTGTAACTATGATTACTTTAAAGTTAATGTCAGAATTTGTTGAAGAAGAAAGTCTATATAAAATTAGTGAGCAAACTAACAGAACAAATATCTTAAATATATCATAAACTGGCATACTTATTATAAGTCTAATATGACAGCAACCTGAATATGTATTGTGCTTAGTATACTAGATTAGAAGAGACACAATTGAATAAAGAAGAGAAAATAGGAGCTGGAAAGTGCCATACGTATAGCATTCAAAAGACTCCGAAGTCATCTTAAGTGTAAACACTTATTTTTCATTTTATTATTTTTTTAAATATTTTTTTTCTCTTTATTTTAAATTCCGTACTCTACGTATTTTTTTTTCAAGTTCACCTAGCAGCTCCGAAAAAAAATAAAAACCCTTTTTTTGTTCACATTTCACTCCACTACGAAAAGTGGAGTCCACTAAATAATTATTAGTTTTGTCCTTGCCACCCATTAAGTCTCCATCATTTCACGTGCTATTGATTAAAATAGTTGTAGTTTTATGTCTTCTGTGCCCGTTGATTATAAAGTCATTTTTCGAAAACATATCTGGAATACATAACACTATATATAATAATATAGTGTATATAAAAGTGATTTTGTATTTATTGAAAAAATTATTTATTTTAAGATTATTCAGTCAGATTAGTTAGTCAGATTAGTCTAAATAGTTTTAATAATACTTAATTTAACCAATCCAACACCAATTTGATATATTTCAAACTATTTTCTTTATTTAATTATAAACATATAATCATTATTAATAAAATCATTTAAATAAGATTAGTTAAAGCTAGATATTAATTTCATTGAAGAGAAAAAATATATTTGAGACCATTTCAAAATATTTTGTTTATTTGATCATTATCATAAAATTACATGATCATTATAAATAAAATTAGTTAAATAAGATTATTTAAAGCTAGATATTAATTTCACGAATGCAAACAATATATTGGAAACCTGAATAT